TGTATTTGTCGTTGCTAGCGCCGGAAATCCACCGCCACCCCTTGAAAACTTTAAAAGTCTTAATATGCGCGGCAGTTAAAAATTGATAAGAAATATTTAAAACTCCCCCATCTTGAATTTGACCATTTTCCCTCCTACGGGAGTTCCTCCCTCATTTTCTAAAAAAATTTTTGAGTTTATTTGTTGTTGGTACCCCCGGAAATCCATCCCCACCCCTTAAAAACTTTAAAAATCTTAATATGCGCGGCAGTTGAAAATTGATGAGACATATTTAAAATTCCCCCATATAGAATTTGACCATTTCCACTCATAGAGGGGTTCCTTCCCCAACCCCCAAAAAAATTTCGAGTTCATTTGTCTTTGCTACCCTCCCAAATCCAGCCCCATTATTTGAAAAGTTGAAAAATCTTGATATGCGCGCCAGTTAAAAATGGCAAAAAGATACTCAGAACCCCCCATCCTGAATTCGACCATTTCCCCTCATGGGGAGGTTCTTACCGTACCGCCCAAAAAATTTTGGAGTTCATTTGTCTTTGCTACCCCCCGAAATTCAGCTGCACTCTTTGAAAATCTCAACATGCGCGCCAGTAAAAAATTGATAAGAAATATTTAAAACTCCCCAAATTCCAAACTTCAAATTTTTTTGGGGTTTGAACATTTGCCCTCCTAGGGGGGTTCCTCCCTCACCCCAGAAAAAAATTTCAAGTGAAATTGTCGTTGATAGCCCCGGAAATCCACCCCCCACTCCTTGAAAACGTTAAAAATGTTAATATGCGCGGCAGTTGAAAATTGATAAGAAATATTTAAAACTCCCCCATCTTGAATTTGACAATTTGCCCTCCTAGGGGGGTTCCTCCGTCACCCCAGAAAAAAATTTCTAGTTTATTTGTCGTTGCTACCCTCGGAAATCCACCCCCACTCTTTGAAAACTTAAAAAATCTTGATATGTGCGCCAGTTAAAAATGGCTATGAGATACTTAGGACGCCCCATCCCGAATTAGACCATTTTCCCTCATAAGGGGGTTCCTCCCCAACCCCCCAAAAAAATGTCGAGTTCATTTGTCTTTGCTAACCCCCCCAAATCCAGCCCCACTCTTTAAAAATACTAAAAATCTCAATATGCGCGCCAGTGAAAAATTGATGAAAATTATTTAAAACTACCCTATCTTGAATTTGACCTTTTTCCCTCCTAGGGGGGTCCTCCCTCACCCTAGAAAAAAATTTCGAGTGTAATTGTCGTTGCTAGCCTCGGAAATCCACCCCCCACTCCTTGAAAACTTTAAAAATCTCAATATGCGCGCCAGTTAAAAATTGATAAAAAATATTTAAAACTCCAATATCTTGAATTTGACCATTTGCCCTCCTAGGGGAGTTCCTCCCTCACCCCAGAAAAAAAATTCGAGTGTATTTGTCGTTGGTAGCGCCGGAAATCCACCCCCACCCCTTGAAAACTTTAAAAATGTAAATATGCGCGGCAGTTAAAAATTGATAAGAAATATTTAAAACTCCCCCATCTTAAATTTGACCATTTTCCCTCCTACGGGAGTTCCTCCCTCATCTTCTAAACAAATTTTTGAGTTTATTTGTTGTTGGTACCCCCGGAAATCCACCCCCACCCCTTGAAAACTTTAAAAATCTTAATATGCGCGTCAGTTGAAAATTGATGAGACATATTTAAAATTCCCCCATATAGAATTTGACCAGTTCCCCTTATAGAGGGGTTCCTTCCCCAACTCCCAAAAAAATTTCGAGTTCATTTGTCTTTGCTACCCCCCCAAATCCAGCCCCACTCTTTGAAAATGTTAAAAATCTCAATATGCGCGCCAGTGAAAAATTGATAACAAATATTTAAAACTAGCCCATCTTGAATTTGACCATTTGCCCTGCTAGGAGGGTTCCTCCCTCACCCAAACAAAAAAATTTCGAGTTTATTTGTCGTTGCTAGCCCCGGAAATCCACCCCCCACTGCTTGAAAACTTAAAAAATCTTAATATGCGCACCAGTAAAAAATGGTTAAAAGATACTGAGAACCGCCCATCCCGAATTAGACCATTTCCCCTCATAAGGGGGTTCCTTCCCAACCCCTCAAAAAAATGTCGAGTTCATTTGTCTTTGCTAACCCCCCCAAATCCAGCCGCACTCTTTAAAAATACTAAAAATCTCAATATGCGCGCCACTGAAAAATTGATAAAAAATATAAAAAATCCCCCATCTTGAATTTGACCATTTGCCCTCCTAGGAGGGTTCCTCCGTCACCTCAGAAAATAATTTCGAGTCTATTTGCCGTTGCTACCCTCGGAAATCCACCCCCACGCTTTGAGAACTTTAAAAATCGTGATATGCGCGCCAGTTAAAAATGGCTAAAAAATACTGAGAACCCCCCATCCCGAATTCGACCATTTCTCCTCATGGGGAGGTTCTTACCGTACCGCCCAAAAAAATGTGGAGTTCATTTGTCTTTGCTACCCCCCGAAAGGCAGCTGCACTCTTTGAAAATGCTGAAAATGTCAACATGCGCGCCAGTTAAAAATTGATAAGAAATATTTAAAACTCCCCCATCTTGAATTTGACCATTGGCCCTCCTAGGGGGATTCCTCCCTCACCCTAGAACAAAATTTCGAGTTTATTTGTCGTTGCTAGCACCGGAAATCCACCCCTCACTGCTTGAAAATTTAATAAATCTTAATATGCGCACCAGTAAAAAATGGTTAAAAGATACTGAGAACCGCCCATCCCGAATTAGACCATTTCCCTTGATAAGGGGGTTCCTCCCCAACTCCCCAAAAAAATGTTGAGTTCATTTGTCTTTGCTAACCCCCCCCAAATCTAGCCCCACTCTTTAAAAATACTAAAAATCTCAATATGCGCGCCAGTTAAAAATTGATAAGAAATATTTAAAACTCCGCCATCTTGAATTTGACCATTTCCACTTATAGAGGGGTTCCTTCCGCAACCTCAAAAAAAATTTCGAGTCCATCTGTCGTTGCAACCTCCGGAAATCCACCCCCACTCTTTAAAAAATTAAAAAATGGTAATATGCGTGTTAGTGGAAAACTTATAATAAATATTTAGAAATTATTTATTCTTCCATATTGTGGATATTATTTATCAAATTCCCAATGAGGAATCTAATTATTAAGGCCCCAGTAATGATAAAACGACCATATGTGAGACTAGCTTGCGGGCTACAGCGGCGAGTGCCCTGCGCGAGGCACGCAGTGGTGCTCGTTCCCACCGTTCCTCCGTCTGCCAGCATCGTCTGCTAGTTTCAGCGTCATCCGCGCAGTCTATCCACCCGCGCTCACTCTTTAGCCTGTATCTCTGGAAGTATTCGATCGATTTCGACGAGTCAAAAATCATTTTATCGGTGAAATAAAGAGGAATAACTTTTGTTTGAACAATTTTTCTGTATCTCTCTTTGTTTTCCCAGAAGAACATTCATTCACTAAAAATGGGGACTAATTTGTTTATAACAAATGATTGTGCGACGGGAGGACAAAATAAATAACATATTCGGATTCCTCACCCCCAAAAACATGAAATCCAATGATAAAATTCCATCGACCTCTTAGTGACCACGGGAAGGGGGTATTGCGTATAGACTACGGCCTGTCTCACTCGCTCCTATAGTGTCACGCGTATATCTCGGACTTAATTCCATCTACGGAATTCGGGCGTCTTGCAAATTCGGTGACACCTCAGCGCTAACGGCCGAATACTCAGCAAGTCGACCACCCCACTTCTGCGTAACATCTTTACTTCTGTATATATTCTTAACGTCTTGTAAATATACAGTGATTAGTTAATTGAATCGCATTTGTTAGTGAATTGTTACATCCCTCAACAACCTCGATTCCTACAGCGTCAGGGGGGGGGGGTTGAAAAACTATCTCAAATTTTTTCAGATTTTTTTGGCAGCCCAGTTTGGAGATACGATTTTTTTCTCGTTTTTCCGTTTTTTTAAATAACTCGAGTGTTCTATCCATCTGATTCTGATTTATTAAGCGTCAAAATTTTCTATTTTTTACTTCCTATAAGAATATGTTTAGAGAATTTTTTTCTATCGATCTCTAGATGCTCATAACTAATTTTCGAAAAAAAATGGAAAAACTTCAGTTTGATAAATTACGTCGTTCTTTATTTGTTTCCTTTTTTCAGTAATTCTTATAATCAAAACAAGTATTTTGAATCGTCATACAAGTTGGACATCCTCTTGCTTCTATTTTATTTTCAATTTTGTCTTTTCGAAATTCCACAAATTTGGTCAAAACACCTCCAAATGGCGTTGATTAACTTTGACTATAGATAGTATGAAGTCAATTTGACTGTATACCTATATATTACATATTTTTTTGATACATAATCGAAGTCGTTTTGGGGTGTTCTGACCAAATTTGCGAAATTTCGAAAAGAAAAAATTAAAAATAAAATAGATCTAGCGGGATGCCCAACTTGAATGACGGCTCAACATACTTGTTTTGATTATAAGAATTACTGAAAAAAATGAAACAAATCAAAAGTGACGTAATTTGCAAAATTCAAGTTTTTCCACTTTTTTTTAAAAATTCATTATTATGGGCATCTAGGAATCGAAATGAAATTCCTGAAAATCATCGTTTAGGCGGTAAAAAAAGGCAAATTTTGCCGCTTAATAAGTTAAAATCGGACACATAGAACTCGAGTTATTGGAAAAAAACGGAAAAATAAAAAGAAATCATGTCTCCGAACTGGGCTGCCGAAAAATCTGAAAAAATTAGAGAGATAGTTTTTCAACCTCCCCAATCGTAGAAAAAATTGCCATTAATTACCAAGTGGTTGAGAGTCAGCGGTTGACTCATTTGGCGTGGAATACCTCATATAAAAAATGGTTTTATATAAAAAAATGGGCGATTTTCTGGCGACACTAGCACCGACTTTGGGCGATATGGAGAGGGGTCTGAAACATCTGGCAACCCTGGCCGTAAGGCACATTAGTCAGTGCCATAAAAATAGTAGAAGAAGAAGGGTCCAGCAGTCGCACAACGTTACCCAGCTCGACCAAACGACGCTAATCAGTGCGATACGTGTTATCAGCTACAATAACAAAGGCTTGTTACCCATCTCGTCGAGGTAAATTAATTTACAACCCTAATTCTATTTCTAAAAAAACGCGTGGGAGAAAATCGAGTGAAGTATGAGTGGAAACCCAAGATCAACATCAATCCCTCAAAACAAAGTTGAAACAAATCCGCGTCATGAGCAATCGAAGGGGCGTGGTATACCTGTCAAAGCCTGCATAAAATGTGGTGCTGTTTGGAAGCGAATGCATTACTGCCCAGCTGAGAAAGAGACGTGCAAGGCGTGTGGAAAAATCGGTCATTTGACGGAGTGTTGTCTCTTCAAAAAAGGCAACCCCATCAAACCGCACCCCATGACATCACGGAGACGTCATGGAGGTCAACAATTGCAAGAATCAAATCCACCCACAAACAATAACAATGTCCATAACAACAAAAAGAATTCTCATGGGGGACAGAGTGCCCAAAGTCTTATGAAGAGAGAGATAAAGTCTGAAAGTCAATCCGGACAGTCGAATGCCGGTAAGTACGAGAAAAGTATCTCCCACTACTCCAGGCTCATAAAATTGTGCCCAAAGGATCCACAGAATTACAACAACCGATCGATCTGCTACATGATGTCGAAACAATACGAGAACGCCTTTGCCGATGCCTCCAAAGTCATCGAGCTGAATCCCTCGTCCGTTGAGAGCTACTGCCGTCTGATAAAGTGCGCAATAATTCTTGGGTGCACAATGGAGGCAGCCATACACCTCAAGAAATTATCGCAACTCGATCCCGAGAATGAAACATTGCTGATCGAACGCGAGAAGTTGAACGAGTTGCAAGGGTACATTGAGAGGGAGAAAACAGCTGTGAAAAGTGAGAACTACAAAGAGGCTCTGGCAAGCGTCTGCGAGAGTTTGGTCATTAGTTCGGAGAATCTGTCGCTGAAGATCAAACAAGCGGAGTATTTGGCGCTGTTGAAGCGGTATAAGGAGAGTGAGGAGATTGTGAAGGAGATTCTGGAGAAAGATGCCAATAACTTGAAGGTCAAATATATCTTGGGGATCAAGAAGTACGATTTGGATATCGATGCTGCTGTGATGCACTTTGAGGAGCTCATTAAACTCGATCCTGGTACTTCTAAAGTTCGTGATCTTTATGAAGTAAGTTGTCAGCAATCGATGAATTACAATGATCTATTCGATTCGGAATCTAATCTATTCGGCGCGGAAGCGGCGCGCGCGTCCTATCTAGTTTTTGATACTTCAACTGATAATTTTTTATGCTGCTTGTATATAAAAAATGAAGGTGCTTGCGGATAAAATTCAAACTCCCATCTCTCAACTGTCAATTTCGTTTCACGGTGCAATTTTTTTTGGCCGAAATTTCGATGGGAAAATTATCTCCCGCATACCACTCGAACTTCAAAATTAATCGGGTATTTCCTTCAAGGTTTTTGCATACAAATGAACTCGTCAAGTATTTCAGAAAAGTCTTTTAACCTGAAAAAATTGATTTCGTCGTTTAGGGGAGGGTAGGGTACAATGGAAACTTTAGACTTTTTAAAAACTATTCATAACTCAGAAACAAATGTATCAATAAAGCTCAGTTTAGGCTCATCACAAAGGGAAAGAATTGTTCTTTGTATTGAAAAAAAAATTAAATTTCATCAACATTTCAACCCGTCACTAACATTTAAAAAAAAGTCAAGTGTCCATTTTACCCCAACCTCCCCTATTTACAACGAACCTAATAATTTTGAAAAAAACCCAATAATTTTAAAGCTCTTGTGGTATTGTAGATGAACATTTCCCAGCTGTTCTGTGCGTTTTTGGTATTAGAAAATGTTCAATAGAAAGTTTTAATTTTGAAGTTCGAGTGGTATTGGATGCTACATTTTCCATAGAAATTTCTTAACATAAATTTTCCAAGTGTTTTCTCGCTTTTTTTTTCTCCGTCGCCCCCCCCCCCCCCGTATTTCTCAATATTGGCTGTGAAAATTTTTTTTTCTTTTTTTACTTATACAAATATTTGATAACAGCAAGTAATTTCAATAGAAATTTTCAATTTTCTACCGTGGAAACATCGTTAAAAAAATCGAAATCATTTCCTACTGAATTCTTAAAATATTTCGACCCCAGAATTTAAGATTTTTCAAATTTCTAGTTGGTCCATAATTGAATGGAGTGTGAAATATATGTTCGTTATACACGTCCACATCCATTGCGACATTTTCGTTAGCAGAAAAATATCTTCATCAGTTATTATTGGCTATTTTATCAGCCTCCGTGTTTGAGGATTATTCCGCCCAGAGTTTGTGGGTAATTTCGGTCATGATTTCTAGCTGCAGCTATTAGAGAATAGTCGAGTGACAGCTCGATTGTTTGGGGTAGTCGGTGGCCACTGAAACATCGCGTAAATTCAGGATAATTTATTGTTATTCACGCGAAATCTTTATCAAAATGGAGCCAAAGAATCGACACGAAAGATGGAAATAGGAAAAATTATAACAGTTGGTCGGTATTGCTAAAGAAATCAACAAAACAAGATGGGCGGCATTGGACGCATGCCGGGCGGTATTACCCTCAAAGTTCAATGCCATCGCTCACTCGCCTTCGGCTCGGACGCCAACGCCACACGAGTAATAAACCCCATCGCAGCAGCCCGGGACAAGATTTTTTTGTAGTGATTTTCAAGTTTTCGAGTTTGGGAAGTATGCAATACCAATTCCCAGACGAAAAATCGTGAGAAGCAGTACAGAAAAAAACTTTTATGTCGCGCCGTGCAAGAAGTCGAGTTTATCGCACGCTGCGCTTCGCGCAGCCTGCTCAAAACTCGACTTCTGCACGACTTAACATAAAATATTATAGAGCACTCGGTAATAAATTTCGTTTTCAACGAATGTGTAGTTTACAGGCCGAGCCATGTAAAGTGAAGTTTATGAGCCGACCATGTTCATGTGAAGTTTATGAGCCGGGTCTTCGGCTCGGCCTGTAACACATTCGTTGAAAACGAAATTTGTGCCCTTGTACTCTAATGTACTATTCTGGCGAATATGAGTTTACAGCCCGAGCCGAGGGTGAGGGTTACGATCATATGAGCTAGAAAAGTTTTTTTAGGTCGTATGTCGAATAATATTTTTGTCATAACGACCGTAGACAGCGATTCACGGACGCGTAGCATCCATAAAGCCCTGCCTTGTAGTCGGAATGACGAAATAGTACATTACATGCCCGAGCCTTGGAAAACAGGTCACCGTTCTCCACGTGCAAGATTGCCTTCCGAGCCGAAGGCGAGGATGGCAAGCACGTGGGGGAGGGTGATATGTTTCCCATGGCGAGGTGTGTATATTAATTTTCGTGTCAATGGATCTGAAAAACGTGAATGGGGATTTTCAGGTCCCGTGACACGAAAAAAATTTTTTCTTCGGCTCGGTTGAAATTTTCCACGGGTTAGGGGTACGGGACTCATGCCGCTGAACCCCGAACAGCGCCACCAACAGGTTTACAAATCAAATAAGACTATTTAGATAGTGTAGATCAACAACTTTCCATTGACATATATTTCAATAAAGTCAGTTGTAATGTTGATTTCTTTGGTAAAATATTTTCTATTTAACATTTTCATTGGAAAAAACGCGTAGAAAATCTGCGGAATATTTCAATGGAATTCATGAGAAATTGATAGAATTTTCTGGCGAATGTGCTACGTTTTTTTTCTATGAAATGTGTTCAGGTGTGAAATAAAACTGATTAATTTTTATCTATTAATTCAAATACATTAATGTGTGCAGAAAGCGAGGAGAATATCTGAGAAGAAAAAGCAAGGGAACGATGCATTCCTAAATAAGAATTTTGAAGCTGCCCACAACCACTATTTATCAGCTCTGGGAATCGATCCTGACCACATGAACATGAAGATCAAATTATATTTTAACATGGGTCAAGCGTCTTGGAACCTGAAAAAGTATGAACGAGCAATTGTAGAGTACGAACGAGTTATAAACGGTGATGACAAGCATTATCTAGCTCTGAAACAACGAGGGAAATGTTACTTGGAGATTCGCAAGTATAAGGAAGCTATTGCTGATTTCTCCAAAGTCCTGACATTATGCCCCACAGATCCCGATTGTCTGCAATTGATCAATAATGCTGTCAATCCGATTGTATCTTTCTTAGGGAAAGATCCTTATGAAATCCTGGGAATTAGAAGAGATTCATCGCTCGAAGAAATTAAAGAAGTTTATGAGCACAAAGAACTCCTTCATTATCTCAATCGCGTATTGGATACCACTGAAGAGCAGAAAACCAAATATGAAAATGATTTCAAGGAAGTTACGTTCGCTTATGACAAATTGTTGGAAATGATTGGGCAGAAAGCCAACTCCAAGGTTGACGATTCATCAATTAAACTGTATAATCTTTTTAATGGTTGAGAGAGTATCACATTTGAATGGAGAATCCAATCATTCTTCATGGGAAAAAAAGTAATGTAACAATTGTTGATGATAATAATAATAACAAAACAATTGCTGCTGATCAATATCACTTCTTTATTATGCTATCAAAAACAAGGATTCCAAATGAGATTTTGAAATCTCTTTATACAATTACTGACGAAAAAAAAAATAAATGACATGAAATGAAAATTTAAAAATTATTTCTACTATATTTAGATGTTGTTGATATGATTATGACTTTGTTTATTATAGTTTTCGTTGTCTTCTAACCGTCTCATCTTCTACATGGCCACCCCGTCATAAATACCTTCAGGATATCCAAGTACTTTGACTATTTTTTCTCCAGTGAAATGCTTTTCTACTTTTATAGTTGAACATCAGAACTTTCATTTGAGCTCCATATTTTACCCCAAGTTTCCGGATATTTTGCAATGATTTTATATTATTTAAACTTTGCTCTCTCTAGCAATTCCATTGGTAATAAAATTCCGAATGGATCTGGTGCAATGGTTCGCGGAAAAATGTTTTCCATGTTTTCTTTTTCCAAGTCGATTCCCGTTTCCATCGTTATTTGATCAAATGTTACATAATATCAAATAAAAAAAAACATACCTTTTTATTATATAACTTTTCAAGTTATTCTGGGGGTTTATTCTTGAGTTCCGCGAAGACGGATTCGTGTGTAATTCCGCCTCCGTCCACCTCGTTCACACCCGAATCCGTCTTCATGCAAGTCGAGAATAAGCTCCGTGAGGCGAAAATAATCGATAAAATGTGACTTTAGAAAAAAAAAATTTTTGGATGAATTGCTCTACACTTATTGAATCGATCAGCACAGAATTTTATACACAAGTGTCACTCAATAATACTAAATAATAGCCAGAATCTCAGGTGCTTATTCTAAGTGTTGTGCATACTATGGAACGTCACATTAACTATCACTTGAAAAATATTTTTTGTCATTGGACCCGAAAAAATTATTTTTTCATATTTTGATTGATCTTGATGGGAGGCGGTAAGACGAGTATTTTGAAAAAAAAATTAATCGGACCCATAGTTTGGGAGATATTGAACAAAACAGTTTTTTACCAAAAGTTGAATATCTTCTAAACTACTTATCCAATTTCACCTACCCACAATCCTATCCTGTGATATCATAACTACGATCTCATCAAATTGCAACATCCTATCTAAATGTTTTCGGGAGTTATCGTGCACAGAACGATTTTCTCGCAAAAACGAAAAATGCTGATTATTACCAAACGATCCCTAGTTATATAGCAGTATTGTGATTTGATTTGATAGATATTATCAACGAATATTTTGACCTCAAAATAAATCAATTCAGATACGGAGTTTTCGAGATATTGATAAAAACATATTTTTGATTTTTTGATTTTTGATTGCTGTATTTCGAAAACTACTTGACCTATTGAGCTGAAATTGCGCCCAGAAGTATTCCACAATAATACCAATTATGTGACGAAATTACATATTTTTAGCTTCAACTCTAGTCTTTTTTCTGGGACGATTTATAAAAATTTCCGAAAAATTTGTACCCACATCCGGACATACACACATTTTCTAAGAACATTATATCTTCACGTTTCATGACATTCTACGTGAAAAGCAATGATTACAAAGCTTCCATTCAAAAGCATAAATAAGATTTCCGAAAGTTTAAACAATTTCAATTATTTATTTACGAACACCGAATGTTTGAAAAAAAAATAATAATTCTATGCAAAATGTAATTTGAATGACGCTGAATATTCATGATTTGTTTCAACATTTTGTCATGCAATTTAATTGACAAATTTGATGATTGAAAATGGTTGAATCTATAGTGTGGTCTGTACCAAACTGTAAAAGACTTGGATATCCTTCACAAAGGGTCCAGTTGCCCAATGATCCGTTCCGCCAGAGGGGTCCATGTGTTATTCCAACGAGTCGATTGCCAAAGTTTCCGTTTGCAAAACTGACCTTTAGAGGAAAAGGAACATGGACAAACCAGCCTCTAGTCATTTTTTGAATCGTAGATGAATTTCATTCTCATGAGGAAAGAACGAGCGACAATCGTTGTATAGGAATAGGCGAAAGAAATACGGTACCCCTCGGGATTCCCATATCTTTATCGCAGCGTTCCAGTCGAAGTTTGGTTGGTTGATTGCTCCCCCTCACTGCCCAGTCACCACTTCGATGCTCACGCCAGAGTTGCCAGATTGGGCGGTTTACCGCCGCTTAGGCGAGGTGGGAAGTCGGGAAGGCGGTATGAGATTGAGGTTTCTAGCCCATCGCCCAATTAGGCTATTTTTTTTTGCATTATGCAATTTTAGGCGTATTCTCAATTTGATTTTTTTATTATTTTAAACAAATCTCTTATGTCATTTACAAGCGAAATGACATTTTCTTGATCATTAAAAATTCAAATTCGTTCAATAATTCGTCACCAGTTGCCCCTTTTGTCGGTACAGTTTTGGGTGCGTTTGCATGTGTCGGACCATCCATTGGGGTCTTTCGGTTTCCACAACTGTCAAGCGTGTTTATACTTGATTTTGATCGATGATCACAACTTAAATACAAAATATATATATGAAAATGGGTAAACATGGGAAATATGAAAAACATTACAACAAATCCTGGGAATTGGCACCTGAGATGGCAGGTGAGGGTAAATCGTTCTTTCAGACGACTAAATATTATGTCTCTAGCGTTAACCTTCCGGTAAGTGTGATCCCAATCATTCACGTTGATTTTTCTCATTTCCCAGCTTGGATATCAAAGAATCCAGATCCCAATGCATTAGGACAAGAAGCTTATTGTAAGTTTTGCAAAGTAGGCCTAAGAGCACATAAGACAGTTGCTGGCCCACGCCGTAACCCAGAAACATTGTCGATTCGCTGAATGTCTCAACAATCAAAGGCCAATTTCAACGTTCGGGATTAATGTGGTTGGAGATGCTACGAAATTAGCAGAGATAAAACTATCCGTTTTTGTTGCACTACACAGTGCAGTCAGAACCATCGACCATTTAGGAGAAATTGTTCAGAAGTTGGGAAAAAAGAGTCAACTTGAGTCCATACGTCTTCATCGAACAAAATGTTCTCAACTTTTGAAAAACGTACTATCTCCAACAATATTGAGTTCTCTCGTGGAAGATATTGGTGATAGAAAATACTCTCTTATTATTGATGAATCGACTGATGTATCGGTCCAGAAATATTTGGCTCTATGTATCAGGTACTTCAGTGAGAAAGAGGGAGCTATAACCACCGACTTCTTGGGTATCGTGAGCGTGACAGAAATCACATCAAATTGTTTATATCAACATATTACGTCATACTTAAACAGCATCAATCTTCCTGTGAAAAATTTGATCGCTATTGGAACTGATGGCGCAAGCAATATGGTTGGTGTTAATCACTCAGTATTTACCCTGTTAAGGGATAACATACCGTTACCTAATTTGATCCTCATTCGCTGCATATGTCACTCTTTAAATCTGTGTGCTTCGAAAGCTGCTGACGTTCTCCCTGCTCATTTGGAGTATTTGATACGAGAGTCACGAAATTGGTTTTGTCTGAGTGCAAAACGAATGGAAGAATACCGGGCATTATTCAATCTTATCAATGACAATAACAAGAAAATGTTGGCTCTAATACAACTATGCGACACACGATGGCTGGCGTATAATGGAGTAGTGAGACGTATTCTGGATCAATGGTTGGAGTTAAAGACTCATTTTTCTATGATTGCTACTAAAAATCAGGACAAATGTCTAACTGCTAGACACTTGGCTCAAATTTATAACGATCCAGCCAATCACTTATACTTACTTTTCCTGAAATCCATCCTCCAGGGAGTCACTGAAGTAAATCTCCTATTTCAAAGCACGGATCGCGATATTTATGAACTTTTCGATAGTTTATGGACGCTCATTCTCTCAGTGGCTACTCGTTTTATTAAACCTTTATTCATTGAAAAAGCTCAAACTACTCAGTGTGTCACTGTAATTAGTGAAGCACTGAATAATACGCTAGCACTGAAGTCAATCGACGAAGTCGATCTGGGAGTGGAATTTCATCGTGCAGCCGTAAATGACAAAGTACCACCAGAGGTTGTCACAGAAGTGTCTCGAAGATGCAGAGAATACCTTCTGACTTTATGTGAGCAGCTTGTGAACCGTATGCCGAATAATTTGAAAATCTTGAAAGACGTTTCAAAGTTTGCATCGGTGAAAGTTTTGTCTCCAGCCACCAAACCATCAATTAACGATATACCACCGGTATTCATCCAGGACAGTGATCTCACAGCAATCGATAATCAGTTGAGAGACATCAATCTGATTCCTTGGAATGACCATTTTTCTAGGGAAATTTTGAATGATACATCCAAATTCTGGTCTCATGCGTATACATTTAAAAATGCCAGTGGTCGACAGGTGGTCAAGGAGTTGGCTGGAACAGTTTTAAAAATGCTTTCGCTGCCAGTCAGCAATGCAGTGGTCGAGAGAGTTTTCTCAGTGATGAATTGCGTCAAAACCAAGTGTAGGAATAAAATGCAGATCGATATGTTGACTGCGATTCTGAGGATTCGTATTCATTGTTACGTGAGAAAACTCCGTTGTACTTCCTTTGAGCCTACTCAACAGATGTTCCAATTATTTACCGCTAAAATGTACGAGATTCCCAAAAGCGATGCCCCTGGATCTTCGCAAAATGCTGATGAGATTGACGTATTGGAAGAGACCCTGATACTCTTCAGTACTGACGAAGCTGAGAGCTGTACGCTCCCATCTGCCGAGTTGTGAACAGCAGAACTTTTATTTTATTGCGTATAATACTCTTTTCCAAAGATTAATAGCTATAATATTTGTTTGTGATAATATGTTATAACTTATAGCACTAAAGTGATATTGGTTTCTATTTTTCATTTTAAAAAACGAGAATAATAATCAATACACCTCGATTCATTTTTATTCCGCTTTTTCCCCTTATAGGCGCAATGATCATTTTTACTTTCAAACCGGAAAATAGTAGAGACTCATTTTAATATTTTCGAATATTCAAAATGCGGCTGTATTTCAAGCGATTTGCGCTTTTCCCTAGGCGGGTTTAGGTTATGTCCTATCAATGTTACTAGGAGGACAG